TTTGCTTTGCATGCACAACCGCTCACGAGCGACCTATGTGTGAAGCCGGCGATGCTGTTGCATCGGCTCCTCTGGGGAGCGCACAAGGCCCGAAAAGAATGTAAATCCATAACATCAAAAACATGCCCTGATCTCTTAGAGATCAGTCAAACAAATTCCCGGAATGCAGTGGGCAGCTCAATAGTGTATAAAAAGGATGCCGTGCCGTCAGCACCAAGCACATCCTGCATCATGGGCGAGCCGTCAGCTCCCAGCCCCATGATTTTACTGTATGTCTACGGGATCCTTTGTACGGGAGTGCACGAACAGTACTGTGCATCTGACTCGTGAGCAGGCCGTTTTCAGAATCACCCGTTGACCATCGCCCATCACCGGTTTTCATCTTGCAGCCTCCACCAAGCAGGGTAGATACCAGTCGCATAGATGTCGCACACTGTTGAATAGCAAACTGGCCTCTGCGCATTGATCCAAGACCTTAGTGAGTCATCAAACACACGAAAGAGCATTGTGAGGTCCATTCAAGCGGGCATTGCCTCTCGTATCTGGAGAAACTTTTTGACCGGTACTGCTTGCCATGTTGTCCCCAGGCATACCCCCGAAGTTGTAAATCTAGCCACATCAATCCAGGTTGGCGTCAGGCTTAAAACCCAAAGTGCTGAGTATCTCCCCATCCATGGGTGCCAGTTTGTTAACATGTCTGACGTGGTAGCCGATGAGCACGAGCCGATCCCCACCCCAAGGTGCTGTGGTGTGTTGTCGTCGCGGGTCGAATCGAACAGGAGTACGAGTATCCCACATTGTGCCTGGTTCACCATCTGGAGAAAGAAAGGTTCGCCCTTCCTCACCTTGTATCCATAGCTCGCCCCCCGTGAATGTAGAGCAGGGTACAACCAAATTTTGACTGTTCACTGCATTGTAGCTGTCGCGATGTGGTTTCGCGCATATGTTTCTGGCCAGTGTGCACGAGCTGAAACGAAAGGAGGCATCCACGCTCAACAATATATGAGCCAGCAACCGACTCACATGAGGAAATTGCTTCACGTTCCTTGCTAAACCAAAATGAGGTCCCCTCGCCCATGCACCAGTCATGAAGGATTTAGGGGTCGCGATTCCCAAGTGATCCTCCTGCTTCCAGCGCCTTTTGGCCTCATCGGGTAATGCATTCATGATGGCCTCGATCTGCATCCACGTAACACTGCCCTGCTCAAAACAGCTGCGCGCCATGGTCTCTGCTGCATGCTCCGTCACAGTTGCCCTAGACAAACTCAAGATTGGCAGGCTAAAGAAGCCCGCCCGAAAACCCTTGTGCGCAGAGCTCTCGTTCTGGACCTGAGCCGTTGATGTCAACGCACGACGAAGCTTACATGGAGGGTCCTCGTCCGCCTCGGAGTCCGAGGAGATAGTCATGATCACATCTGGTGGCACACTCGGAGTTGCAGGAACTGTAACCCTCTGGTCTTGTTCCTGCGGGGGACTGCTATACTCGAAGAATTGATGCAGTCCGTCGCGTCGCACTCTCCATCTTGGGTCCTTGTCCGATCTGTTCCTGTGCTGCTCCTGTTTCTGTCGTTGAGCCAACCCCACATGGAAACATGAAGACGTCACTGTTGACAACGAGCAGCCGATGTGCAGGGTATGGTCACGAACTGCACTCGAGAAAATCGACGGTCACTATCATCAATCTCAGTGCCACACCCCAGCCAGTTGACAAGAGTCGAGATGGCGCGGAACTCGTGTCCACCATACCTAAGTACATGCACAAGTGAGGTATGCACGCTCGCGGTTGGTATATACCAGTAGCAGCAGCAGCAGTAGGATCACAACAAGCATGTTCTGTATGTACACTGTGCCGTTTTTCTCGCTGGTGTGTCATTGCCGTTGTTGCATCTCCACGGCTGTACGAGCTAGGGAGTCTCGCCGAAGATAAGCAAAATGAGATGCACTGAGAGGCCATTTACACGAGGCTGCGCTGCCCCCGAAACTGCATTGTCCTTGTCCGCAATGCCTCAAAAGTAGTGCTTTAGGCATTTTCCCATGCCTCTGCACAAACCCATTTCCTTGGCGTCGCACCGACAGTGCCAAGCACGCCATTGGCTCGGTCTTCCCACATCCGGCTACTTCTCGAGGGAGTTTAACAGGCGGCTGATCTGGTTGGCCAGCTGACTGCGAGAGCTACGCTCCCGTTTCACCTCGATTCCACAGACCATCGTGGAGCCACAGTGGCACAGCTGATTCATGTCCGCAAAGAGCTGCAATCCATTGTCATTTTGCAACGAGAACTGCAGCAAGAACGCCACAGTTCCCTCCTGCATCTGCTCCGTGATCGGCCTGGTGGGATGGAATCTAAGCAGAGCCTCCACCGTGTTGCATCGAGTCAGCATCGACTGTAAAATCGCCAACACATCCTCGTACGAAATCACGGAGGACTCCTCGTCCTTGACATTCTTCTTCAACTTTGAGTCCCAGCGGAGGCGCTGGAAGTCCTCGCCCTTCAGCCACCCCAGCTTTTCCATTGATCCCCGGCGCTCGGTGTCGCCCCGAAGCTGCTGCAATCTGTCAAACATCTCCTTCAGGAGGCAGCTGAACAGCATGTTCCTCATGGGTCGTTTGACCTTCTCCGGCTGCTCCTCCTTGAGCTTCTGCCATTCTGTTTTCGCAGCAAACAAGGATGGCACAAGACTGCCCGGAATGCCAGTGCGAACGAATAGCACGAACGAGCTTTCAGCCCTCCACATGTTAATGGAGTCCTCATGCCTCAAGCATAGCCTGGCCAGCTGTCCAACCAAAGTCTTGAGCATGGCGATGGCTTCATCCTCATCGTCCTTTTTCCAGTTGCTCCAGCGTCCGGAGCCCCAGCTGTTTTGGTTTCGCGAGCGCTGATATCCACCCTGCTGTCCATGGCCCTTGGAGCCCTGGCCATTGGATTGCCTGCCTCGGGAACCCTGGCTGGAACCAGGATTGTTCTCCGCCTCCTTTTCATCCGTCATTTTGGCGTCGGGTCCCTTCGAATCCCCTTTGCCTTCCGGCTTGTGGAACTTGGCAGAGCGATCCACCTCGAGGGCCAAGGATTCCGCGGTCTGCGGGGCCGCTTGCTTGAAGGCCGCCCAGATGCGTAGCTCCTCCTCCTGTTCCATGGGAACCTCAAGCTCCGCTGACATTGCCGCCTGCTAGTTCGAAGAGGAAGCGCCTGGTGGGGACTTTCGTTTGAGCCACACTGTGTATATTGCCCTTCTCAAGGAGGAATCAACTTCGCATGGTGCGGCGGGAACCCCATCATCGGTGATCCACCAATCTGCTTGCTCTCTCAGCGCCGCACGATAATGCCCGGAGTCTGGAGAGTCCCCGAAGTGCAGCAGACCTGCCACCACAATGTACGGTACCCACTCACAGTCAATCCCTGTCGTGAAAACCGGCACATTCACTTCCTGAGCAAAGCGGACCTGGATCATCGACTTTCCACGATGAGGAAACCTGCCCAGCTGTACAATAAAGTAGCCTGTCTCTATCACGATCGCATGTGTGTGTGCCTGATACGACCATGCACTGACCAGCTCTTGAAGATCACAGTCGCCATGGGGCAGGTCCAAGTACAGCATGCCTGTTCCGTCCATCACTTGGTGGACTCCCCTACCCATCACCCTAGATTCCCACGACATGTGTCCGAAGCCTACCTTGTTGAGTAGGAAGCCCGTGAACTCTGCAGCGTCCTTTTGCCTGTTATCCAGTGTCCATCCTCTGAAGAGTGCTCTAAGCCCGAAATGCGTTGCAAGGTTGAGGCCATTGCCCTGTTGCCCATCGATGGCATCTCGGAGTTGTCGTAGTCCTCGAGGGAGGTCCGTGTCCTTCAATGCATGCACTAATGCCAAGATCCCAGCATTCATATAGCACAGGTTATGTGGATTGTGTAGCCTGACTGATCGAGTTCCGGCCACCGCATAGCCGTTTGACCTGCCGGGGCCAATGGAGTTGCTCGCTCCTGGTGCATCCCCCTGCGCCACGTTTACCAAGAGCTCTGAGGACGGATCCGAGGCAGAAGGGGTCGCCTGCTTGGTCGTGGTAGCCTCGCTCGGCGCAGGTTTGGATGCATGTCCACGTAGCATCGCCTTAATGCCTATGCGTTCCACCTGCATGTACTGCTTCTCCTTCTCGTGTTGTTTGAGAGCTGGTCCCCGCCTGGAGTGCAGATGAAGATCAAGAGTGCCCTCCGAGTAGAGTTTGCGAACAGCCAAGACCTGAAAGAGGGAGGAACACTTCGTAGCATGATGAGTGGCATCTGTATTCCCATTCTTGGCATTGCTCCCACAAAACTGGCATGGCCTGCAGAAGATTGCCCGTAAGCTTCGTGCCCCAGAGAGAGCGTCCTGATGAGCGCAAGCCCAGGCTTCCTTGTGTGTGGTTTGCCAGTGTATTTTCATGTGCCCCGAGACCTTCACCATCTGCGCGCAAAGAATGCACTTGGTCTGGTACTTGGCAATTTCTTTGTCCTGAGTCGACAGTTGAGCCAGCGTGCACGTCAGTAGTAGCGGAGCAATGTGCCCTGGTGTGGCCTCCAGTGTTCTCGACCCCGTGGGAGGCCTCGGTGGTGCCTGCTGCTCTTCCTGTAGCACCTGTTGCATAACATGCTCCACGTCCTTACCCTCCGCAGCCGCCTGTTTCAGCCTTGGACACCGGCCTTCCGTGATGTGCCGCTCCATTGAGACCCAATCATACATGGTCTGCCTGCACAGCCTACACTGGGGCAATCCGAACAACGTGTGCAAGCGACGATCAAACGAGGTCCTGGCGTGCTGGTGTACGAACTCATGTTTCGCCGTGTAATGTGCCTCCAAACTCTTCTGATTGTGAAATTCCACTCCACATACATGACATGTTACTGTCTCCGCCGTGCGGTCCACCTCAATGACTCCAGATGTAGGTAAAGCTTCAACTCGCGTGAGTTCCTGATCAATGAAGCTGGCACGATGCAAAGCTGGGGCACTAAGATCAGTAGATTGATGTCCCTCAGTTTTCAGCGTGTGTATCTTGCCTTGTAGTAGTTGACGCAAAAGCTCTGCAGGGGCAAGATCCGCACGTCGTAAAACCTCATGGTTGGGGACGCCGTGCTCGTGGACCCTCAATATTTTCCGCAACATCCGAGAGAAAATAGACTGTATCAACCTCAGGCTAGCCGCCGTGACGCCAACCCCGATGATGCCATGTAGAAGCGCTGGGACTATGCATGCTCGAAACACCCGCAGCCTCTGCTTGGTACTGAAAGAGGATGCCGTTCTGAGTAGTGGCCTGAGCTTGGTGTAATTCGCCCATGCTTTTGTTGCTCTGAACTGCACCGTCTGCATCTCCATCGCTCCATAAGACAGAGTGGCCCCTAGATAGTCCATTTTATCTTGAATCGGCAACCTGACCTCACGACCCGTGCAATCATCCGTTCCCAGAACAAACACATACCTGTTCCTGTCCCACTTGACAAACCTCTGCTTAATCCCTGTCGCGGCGCTTCCACGTAGTAGAAGAACTGCCATGGACTTGTCAAAGTTGACCTTCATGCCCGAACGGTGCAATGCCGCAATGAGCTTGAGGGCTCGAGCTCTGGCTTCATGAAATTCTTGACACGTTCGTATTATCCAATGGCCATGGACATCATCTGCAAAGAAACTGGTATGTTCTCTACACCACTCGGTGCCCAGCAGTCTGCATAGCTTGATGGTCCACGCCGTGAAGACGCTCGGAGCAAGTGGACACCCCTGGCGAAGTCCGCGCTTCATCTGAACTGTCTCAGAGTGACCACAATGGCGCACTATACAGACGGATTGTCTGTGTGTCTCCACTATTAGTCTGGACAGTTCATCTGAGACTCCAACCTCCCTCAAGCTCTCATACATCACTCCAAAAGGCATGCAATCAAAGGCCTTGGCCAGATCCAAGCTAAGCATCAATCCCCCCTGAAGTTCAGGAAGGGCCCCGGTAAGCAGTCGAGTGGTAACATCTGTGTTGACCTGGCCTGCCAGAGCGCGCACCTGTATGCAATGGAGACTGCCCCTGAGCAGGGCATCCGTTGTACTAGCCATCTTTCGGTACGCAAATTGCGGAATATCCCATAGGCCCTGCGTGATTTCAGCCTGCACCGCCTCTTTTAAGACAGTCATGAACATCTTGGTATCACCCGCCATGAGCCCCACGGTCCTCAAGTTGGAGGGCTTGCTGGGACACTTTCCCGGCTTCGCCAACCAGGCCAGCTGCACCTCCGTCCATTCTCCAGGAATATGAGGTGTATCACTGCATAAATGATGGACAGCTTGTGCATGGAGTATAGGGACAATGAGTTTGCTATGTTGTTTCCAGTTACGAAGCGGTGGGGTAGCATTCGGGGCTGCCTTCTCCGCCTTGAGCTTCGAGGCTGCCTGATGCCATCTTCGAATGTCAAGTATCTCCTCTGGGATGCGTAGCAGCGGAAGCCTGGGGCTATTTGAAGCCATGAAAAGCTCCCGGGCATAAGCTGCGAGGACTTTACATTCCTCCAGGCCGTTCATCAGATGCCCCGCATCATCCCGAAGTCTGATACGCTGCACTCCCTTTCTAGGGCAAAGCAAGTTGATCACTCCGAACAGACCACGCATATCATGCCTCGAGGCTGCCGTCTCTGCTTGTTGGAGCAGGGCCAATGTTCGACTCCGTTTGCGTGCTCTAAGGGCCCTCTTAAGATGCCTGTGCACTCTCATGTAAGCAATGCGAAGCTTAAAGTACCTGAAAACAAAGACCATGCCAGCACCAAGCAGCGTTTGCACATTCTGTAGCCTTCGTCGTAGTTTCCAGCACCCCTTGATCTCATCAGTCACCGGCGCAAGCTCCGGTCGTACAAGCCGTTCCGGTGCTTCTCCTCCCGCGCGCGACACTGCATCGCGAAGCTCCCTGACTTCACATGGTGGTTTCTCTGACGTCCAGGAGCCCAATTGTGGGAGATCAGGCCCTGCCTTGGGTTCCGCCCTTCCTTCTCGATGTTGCTTGGCCCATGGCGTCCATCGATGTGGGATTGAACCCACCAGGGGGAGATGTCCTGTGGTTCTCCATCCTGCCATCGCCGTCACCACAGGTTTCGCTGTTTTGGCTGTCCCGTCAGATACGGCTTGCCTGGCGCACACATAGTCGATCTGACTCCTGCCCTTGGCGTGTAGGTATGTGGCAGCGGTGCCCTTCTTAGACCACGTGTTGAGAGCCGACAGCTTGTGCCGTTGGAGCAGTCGCATTAACAGATCCTGGTCCGCCCTCTCTTTCTCCGACAGCTCCTTCTGCAGCAAGCCGTAACCAGCGATTCTGCTCATCGGGGTCAGGGTGACATTGAAGTCCCCTCCTATGATCAGTTGCGATCGGACCGGCATCGATGCCAATAGCTTATCAAGCTTAGACAAAAGCCGTCTCCTCTGATCCAGGATGGTCTCAGACATACCAGCCTTTTGCAGAAAAGCAAACTGATATACCCCCACTATATCTACCTGTTGTTTGTCAAGAAAGCATCTGACCTGCAGAATGCGTCCCGGCTCCGCTTCATGCCATCGGATCTGCTGTGCATTGGCAAGCACCTTCCGTATCCCGATTAAAATTCCCCCACTTCCCTTGCGCTGTGATGTCGTGTGGCAGAAATGCCACTCCTGGGTGGACCAGTCTCCACTAAAATCCCAGTGTGTCTCTTGCAAGATGATGATATTGATGTCCTTATTCGGTGTCCTCTGCAACCACTGCTGTAATTCAGTGAAGAGAACATCTGAAAGCCCTCCCACGTTCCAGGAAAGAAAACGAATTCTGCGCCTGACCTGTGTTTGCATCTGCTCCTCTATTACCGGAAGCAAAGTTGCATTGGACACAAGTCTGCGACCCCTATACATAGTTTCGCCCTGCAGTTGCGCACGTCGTACTGCACGCTTGTATGATCGCTTACGGATCTGAAAAAGAGGCTCCAGTCTTACCTGAAGCGGCTTCAATGTCCCCTCCTGTGTTCATCTCAGGAACCAAGGCCCCCGAGATTTCAGGTCCCCCGGAGGGTGAGGACCAACCCTCACGCCAGCGGCCTATACTAACCGATTGTGGCATCATGCTGCTCTCCGCTCCCGGACTTGGGACCGGGCTGAGCCGGATGAGGATCTGGGGGGTTCTCGTACTGGAACAGCCAGGCGTTGCTCATGCGATGATGGTACTCCCGAAGAATAGCGGATACAGCTTCGATAGTTTCAGCGGGATAATTCCTAAAGGACCACGACAGGAACAGCTCAAAGCTTTCTTGAGATAAAATAAAAGCCGCCTCAGCAAAGAGCTCCGTTAAGCTGAGCTCACTCCACAGCTCACTCACAAGCCGCTCTGCCCAGTAAACAGTACTCGGTGGTGTGCTAAGCAGATTTCTCTCCACTTCTTCGATCAGCCACGCTCGCAGGTGTCCAGTGATGCGTAACGACATGCCTAAAAGCCCCCGCACATGTTTGAACCGCTCATGGCGCTTTCCTACTGCTCCTACTCCTACTCCTACTGCTACTCCTACTCCTACTCCTACCCCGACTCCTACTCCTTCTCCTACTCCTGCGACTATTTCTACTGATAATGCGAGTTCGCTACGACCTGTCTGACCTGAAGTTTAGCATGTCAGGCATTGTCAGGCACTGGGACACCACCACCCTCCCACCACCACCACATACCAAAACAGCGTCGATGACACGTGCCAGAAAGACGTGTTTTTTCATTTTTCAAGGCCAAGCTGCCGATTGCCCAGATGCCTGCGGCCTGTACCCAATCTGGACATGCTCAGATATGCTTTGTGTTGCGGCTCTGAAGAACATGGGTCGTGCAGTTCACAGAAAGCCGCTCAGCAGAATCAGAGATTGAAGCCTCGTCCCTTCTTTGCTGTGCTCGCTTCACCTCGGAATTTTCAGACTGGCTGCGCCACCCCTTACACAGCTGCTAAGTTGAATCTCCAACCTGACAGAACTTGTCTTGGGATGTGACCGCAGCTTGGATGGCAGCAGCTTGAAAGATCGAACTGTCTGCAGCCTTCCGCGATGGCTTGATAGCTGCATTCTTAATTACTTTCTTACCGCCCAACACCATACCACTTCACAGCTGCACTTGCAACCAGAGCGGTGTCTTTTCCCTACAAGCAGCCACAGCAGTGGCAAGTGTGGATGAAGCATAGGCAAACTTCAAAGGCCTGCACACGCCCACAGTTCAACAAGCACACATGTGCCAGAATCTCATGAAAGGCTTCCTAGTATGGACTAGATATCCGGGTCTTTGCGCAAGCAGTCGCGCCTGGCGGGTCAGGAAGGCAGCCTGGCTGACGGCTAAGGCTCTGTTCCATCCCTAGCGATAAATGCCACCATAAGACGATCATCCATCTCTCCGATTTGAACTGTCCTGTCTGTACATGTGTCACCACGCCCTGTTTGCGAAGGTCACTTCCACGAAAGGCCATTCTGATTGTTTGCCATGAACGCGACCATCCGCATTGCGAGTGATCCTGTAGGTGTAGTTTCGACAGATATTTGTTGCGACTCCACTGCTAATAATTCCAATCCCGCCCCATGATAATACTGCGCCTGGCCAAGCACCATGGAGGCATGCTTCAGGGAGATGCCGTCCCGTGCCAGCTGCACTGCTGCCACCTCAAAGTCTAGTGTAGTCTGGTGCAAGTTGCAAGAAAGTGTCTCTTCTCTTCGCGGATTTAGGGTGTCTTGTATGTCACGTTATGTCACGTTGCATGTGGCTCAGGACACCGCCAGCTCCCACAGCTCGGCTCCAGCACAAACAGCCAACGGCGACAGCAGCGCCCTTGCAACGCACTGAGGATTCAGAGTGGGGTCTGTCATGTGTCCTAGCTGCGATCATAAATCATCATTTTCGTCATCACCACCTTCACCATCATCATCATCATGATGATCATCAGTCATCATCATCATCATCATCATCAGAGAAATAGAACAGCGTTCTTCGAAACGGCCACTCCGAACCATCACATCTACAGACCTGACACTGCAAGATTGAGGCCCGACGTCTCGTGCTCCAGGTCAGGATCTCCATCTCCTACTGTCGCGCGAAGAGCCTGGGAAAAGCTGCGGCTAACTACTACTAGTTATGTTATGCTTTGTCTGCATGATGCCAGTATGATCCTAGGGCAACATCATGTTGCCACTTGCATGATGCTCTGCCGCAAAGAAGGAATCCGGCGGAAGGCTGCAAAGCCTCGACTGAGGTCAGAGCGGCGGCCAGCGGCGTCGTTAGATCACCCTCCCAGGAGAACCGCTCCATAAACACGGCGAACGCCAAACCTGACTCCATATGTGGTTCGTCCGAGCTTGTGACTGGGTTGTACGGCTGTTGGCCGCCGTCTAAGATATCTAGCCTAATTGAGCAAAACCTTCCGTCACAAGCAGTCCCAAGGCAGCGGCTCAACTGCTGCATTTCTGTGCCGTTCAAGGCTCCTCAGAGCGATGAATCACGCACGCCAGCATCAAGACGTTGCAGCTGTTCGCGGTAACCCGCGGCACGGTTGAAGCCCGGCAGAGCTGATCTGAGTGAGATCCAGCTCAGGAAGCGGCTCAATACGGGAGCCACATCAGAGCTGAAGGGGCCTGCGCTGCTGGAGGCCTGCAGGGAGAGCGATCGCTAGAATCTCTGCAGGAGGAAATGCACAAACCTGCGTCTGCCTCTGACACGGCCTGCAGCACGTGGCTGTACTGAGCCATGTCAAATCCCGTCGCCAAAGCCTTAGAATGTCGAAGAGACGGTATAAACGACATGGCGCGGGGGCTCTTCTATGCCATGCCAGCAAAAACAGTGGGAGCACAGAGTTTGGACTACAGAAACCTCCCCGGTAACTCAGTGCTCCCATGTAACCGGTGCCGAACATGCACTGGAACAAATATGACTTCGGCAGAAAGATGCAGCACACTGTTCTTTGTCACCACGAGTCGTCTTGCCACGATTTGCTGCCGCTTGACAGTTTTTCGTGGTCGTTAGTTCGTTGTTGGTTGGTTGTTCTGATGGTGTCGATGGTTGCGTCGATGGCGGTGACGACTGTGGTGGTGCTTGCAGTCGCAGCAGTAGCGAAGTCCAAGTTGTATTTTGTTGTTGTCATTGTTTTCATTTCTGATTCGAAGTAGCCGTCGTCGTAGCAGCAGCAGCAGCAGCAGCAGCAGCAGCAGGAGTAGTAGCAGTAGTAGTCGTCGTCGTCGTTGTCGTGGTCGTCGTAATCGTCGTCGTCGGCGTCGTCGTGGGCGTCGTCGTCGTCGTAGCACTAGTAGTAGTAGTAGTAGTAGTAGTAGTAGCAGCAGCAGCAGCAGTAGTAGTAGTAGAGTAGTAATGGTTGCAGTAGTGGTAGTAGTAGTAGTAGTAGCAGCAGCAGCAGCAGTAGTAGTAGTAGCAGTAGTAGTAGCAGTAGTAGTAGTAGTAGTTGTTGTTGTTGTTGTTGTAGTGGTAGTGGTAGTGGTAGTGGTAGTGGTAGTGGTAGTGGTAGTGGTAGTGGTAGTGGTAGTGGTAGTGGTAGTGGTAGCGGTAGCGGTAGCGGTAGCGGTAGTGGTAGTGGTAGTGGTGGTGGTA